TACTTTTTACTGTAATTTAAACTAAAATAAATTTTTATTTAAAATCAAAAATATTACTAAAGGGTGTAAGTTATTTTTATTGATTATCAGTATTTAATTATACTTTTACTGTAATTTAAACTCAATTAAATTTTTACTCAAAATCAAAAATATGACTAAAGGGTGTAAGTTATTTTATTGATTAATAGTATTTAATTATACTTTTTACTATAATTTAAACTCAACTAAATTTTTTATTTAAAATCAAAAATATTACTAAAGATGGTAAGTTATTTTTATTAATTATCAGTATTTAATTATACTTTTATTGTAATTTAAACTCAACTAAATTTTTTATTTAAAATCAAAAATTTACTAAGTTGGTAAGATATTTTTATTAATTATTAGTATTTAATTATAAATTTTATTGAATATATTTTTATAATTGAATTTAACAATTTTTTTAAAAATATATTTAATTTGTATTATAGATGGTAAGATAATTTTATTAATTTATGATTATTTTACTTTTTACTTAATATATATAAGTATTTAATTTAATTATTTTATATTTTGTTTATAATAAATAATAAATATAAAATAATAACATTAATAATATATAATTACAATTTATAAAAATATAAAAGTTTGTTTAAAATGTAATAAAAAATTTACTGGATATAATTGGTGTAATGAATGTAATGCTAAACAGTTTAAAAAAGAATTTTCTAATTGGACTTGTAAAAATAAATTTATTGATAAATTTATTCAAGAAGCTCAATTAAATGCTCAAAATAAAAAACAAGTATTAGAATGGATTTCTTATAATAAATTTAAAAATATTAAATATTTTGATAAAGGAGGATTTAGTATTATATATAAAGCTATTTGGTCAAATGGATTTATTAAATCTTATAAAGATAAAAAATGGAATTTTAATATATTTTCTGAAAAATGGAAAAGAATTAATCAAAGAGAAGTAATTCTTAAAAGTTTTATTAATTCATCAAATTTAAATAATGAATTTTTAAATGAGGTATGAAATAATAAATTTATTTTTAATTTTACTTTATTTAATTTTAAAATAATTTTATGATTTATAGATGAAAAATCATTATATATGTTATTGTAAATCAATTAAATATATAGATGAAAATCTTGTTCAATTATATGGCTTTACTCAGGATCCAGCTACTTTAAATTATATGATAGTTATGAAATATGCAGAAAATAATAATTTAAGAAAAAATTTATCAAAAATATTTAATCAAAATTGGATAATTAAATTATCAAACTTATATAGTATTATTAATGGATTAAGTCTGATACATCAACAAAAACTTATACATTGTGATTTTCATGATGGCAATATTTTAAATACTAAAAGAAATAATTTATCGATTAGTGATTTAGGATTATGTAAACCTGTAAATTATTTTCAGTTATCTACTAAAAAAAATGAAATATATGGAGTTTTACCATTTGTAGCACCTGAAGTTTTAAGAAATCAACCTTATACTTTAGCTAGTGATATATATAGTTTTTCTATGATTATGTGGGAATTAATATCTGGTATTCCTCCATTTAATGATGAAGCACATAATGAGCAACTTGCTTTTAGAATTTGTAATGGTGAACATCCTAAAATTATTGAAAATATTCCAATATGTTATATAAGTTTGATGGAAAGTTGTTGGAATATAAATCCATTAAAAAGGCCAACTGCATTAGAAATTAAATCTATTATTAGAAATTGGTATGAAAATATTAAAAAACAAGATTTTGATAAGGAATTAAAAAATGATATTATAGAGTTTTATAAAGCAGATAAAACATTAAAACAAAAGCAAAATTTTAATACATATAGTAATAAAGAATCTCATCCACAAGCTTATTATACAAGTCGTTTACTTAGTTTTACTGACAATTTAAATAAAATTTTAGAACAAAGTACAGAAATTAATTTAAGCTTTGGTAATAATTATCATTATATTTATAAATTTATAATTATATTAATTTTAAGATAAGTTTAATATTAATATACTATATTTTAATTTATAGATTTAACAGAAAATTTAAATATTACAGTAGATGAAATAAGTAAGTGATTTTATTCAAACATTAAATTATAAATTTAATTTCTTAATTTTATTTATAATAGATAAAGATTAAAAAAAAAGATTAATATTTATATATTTATATTATTATAATGAAGTATATATTTTATTGAGCACTGTATATAGAGTAATTTTATATAACGAATACAGTTTGTAATCAATTAAATAAATTTTATTCTTTTAAAAATATTAAATAAAAATTTATTAAATTTTTATTTAATATATAAATATAAAAATCATAAATATTTACAGAAATAATATAAAAATACATTATCTTGAATAATAAACAAAATTATTTAAAAAATATTATAAAATAAAAAAATAAAAAGAAAAATTGTATTTGGAAGATTTTATTATTTATAAAAAATTCAATAATGATGATGTGTAATTTTAACAGAATTTTGGTTTTGTGTAGGATTTTATTGTGATGTGAAAAATATATTTTTAATTTTAATTTTTAAAATTAATATTTAAACTTACTAAAATTGTTTGATTACAAATAAAGGATAAATATATCAAGAAATTTTTTTAAAAAAAGTTAAAGTTATAGGTCATCAAGGTTTTTGATATTTCTAAATGGATTTCATTTTTATATATATGATAAGAAATTTTATAGTTAAAATTAGAATAAGTTGTGCTATCAATTTTTTTTTGAAACTTTAACTCTTTTAAAGAAAGAAAAAATATTAGATTATTAAGACCTTTACAGTTGAAGCAAAAGGACTGTCAATAATAACTTTAATTATCCAAGAATATTTATAATACTTCTTAGATGTAGGTTCACTATTTATACACAATCTAGGATTCTGCAATTTGATTTAATATTTGAATATTCAATTTAAAAATCAAATCTAATACAAATACAAATTAATAATTGATTTGATTCGATCAAATTCAAATCAAAGAAAAAATTATTTGATCAAATATAAATTAATCTTTGATTTAATTCAATCAAATTCAAATTAAAGAAATTTTATTTAATCAAATACAAATTAATCTTCAAATATTTGATTTGATTTGCA